TAATTTTGGTACGCTTGTCAATAATTCAACAATGCTCATCAAAGAAGTGTTAAGAGAAGGTTGTGAAAAAGAAAGTGCATTTGATATAAAGAATTAGAAATGAAAGAGGAGAACGATTCTCGTGTTGTGGTGGAAGAAAATGTTTGGCAACATCACAATAGAGAAGAATAATAGGTGGTGTACGATGGAGGAAAATAAATGAGAAGCAAAAATAAAAGAGAAAAGAAATAAAAAATAACGAAAAACGTTAATGAGAAGGATTGATGCTTAGGTGAAAAAATAAAAAGAAAATGTTACACTTGTCTTATTATTATAGCCACTTTAACATCGATAATTGGTTTTCTATTGATATAGAAAGTTTTCCATCTTTTATATCAATTATTATAAAAAATTTTTATATTGGTTCAAACAATAATCGAGATTAAAAAAAATCCTCTAATATTTACGAAATTATTAACAAGAGTCCATTTATCTTAAATCGATGTTATATAAATGATATAAAATTATTTTAAAAAATTATATATATATATATATATATATATAATTTTTTATCTTAATTATGTTAATTTTCTTTTAATATAATTATTTTAAAAAAAATACTCATTTTTAACCGTTATTTTAAAAAATAAGAGATAATGATAAAAAAACTTTATAACTTATTCAACATCATAATTACAATAATAGCATTTAATATCAATTCTATAGAATATACAATATTGGTTTATCATCATCATTGAAAGTTAACACTTTCAACATTGATTGTAAAATAACCAATGTGGAAAGTCATATCTTATAACATCGGTTGTTATATAATTGATGTGGAACCTCAAAACTTTCAACATTGATTGTTAAATAATTGATGTCAAATATTTGTTATATATGTGTAAAATGAGTAAATATATTATGTCAGATAATGATTTAACTAATGTTGAAAGTGTTTTCAATATCAGTTATGGTCATAAATGATGTAGTTCTAAATGATCTCAAATATAAATAATAATTTCAAATGATATATTGTTCGTAATGTTCATAGAAATAAGTAATAACAATTACAATCAAACATATCTACAAAATTCAATGCAAATGTTTATTTCCTCGTAGTTTCCAATAACTTTTGTTGCATCTTCAATTGCCTCTCTAGGCAATGATTCTTTTTCTCTAAACACCTACAATATATGGTTAGTGTAATAATGTAGATGGATATTACAGAACTAAAATAAAAAATATCACTTAACCTAGTTCCAAGAATCTCTTATGTTACCTACTACTATTAACCACATCCAATACATCACATAATAGTCACACTTATAACTTTAAGGTTGCCTATTACACTAAAAGTAAGTAGCATGTTAATTAACATTGTAAAATAATACATACATACTAAAGTAATATTATATTACAAAATAGAAATGACTTATGTTCATCGTAACCCATTCTGGGTTAATGTTTTTAATTATATATATTATGTCAATTGTATTGCAAACCTTGAAAGCATGATTGACAATAAATAAATAAAGATAATAAATACAATTATAATACAACAATCACTTATTCATTATGTTTTTTATCTCTATTTCTGGTTTACGATTTAATGAGTAGAACCAACACACAATGTTGTTCTTTGGATAGATAAGGAGTAGTTGTCAATGATGTTTGTGTAATCACAAATAGTTAGAATGTAATTAAAGAGAAATTAAAATAATTACAATTAAATATTGACTTACTGAAATAAATAAACATCAAGGTAAATATCTTTCATTGACTCTAACATCCAATTATGCATGTATATTTGAACTTCTTCTCTTTTATTCCTTCATTTTTTTTATTTTATAAAATGACATTTGAAAAACCCATACACATATGATGATCTTTTGGGGACCAACATTTAATGCCTTATCCTAAGTTGGTGTAGCCACTTTGTTTGACATCTCAACATCTTAAACATCTAATAAAAAATATTATCTTAGAAATAATATATAATCATATTAAAATGTGATATATAATCATATTAGATGAAACAAGCCTTAATAAGCAATGAAGGTTTGCAAGGCCTGTCCCACTAACTTCACCTCTTTAGTGGGTGCAGGAATTTGAGCATCAGCATCTCAAACCTCTTCAACCACCACTCTCACTAGGTTAGGTGTCAAAGAAACATCATGGATGGTTGAACCCCCTTTCTGAGTTGTACCAATGGCCACCAAACATGGCTAAACTAGATCATCGTCAATCTAAAACTCATACTAATCTGGCTGACCAATGTTAGTGTCATCTTGTAAGGAGTAGTAATTGAGTCAGTACAACTACCCTTTGTGCTAACACGTGCACATGATAGAGCATCAACACCAATACTTTGGATGACCATGTTGCGAGGTAGCCATAGAAGCTAAGCTTGGGTCATATACATGCATGAACTCCTTCTGAACCCGTGCAGTAATGGCCAGTGTCAACTTCTTTGTAAGATGCATTTCCAACTTAGTCATCTCTTGTTTGCTCAAAGATGATGCAATAGGATATGTGATGGTGACCCAAAGTACTGTCAAATACCCACTCTAACTCCATCAACACGAACAAGACTAGGGTGTTCTAGATGCCCAATGGCGATTGTCAATATGTGCTGCCCACCACGAGAAGTAAGTGCTCCTTACATGCACTGCCCTACCAAAGAATCCTATAAAGCAATTCAATACATTGACTATGCAGTAGTTAAATACAATTTAAAAGTAAAATAAATATAAAAACTTACAATTTTGGAAGCAACAGTGTGAAACTTGTACACCTAGGGTACAAAGGTGTCTATGAATCATTCTTCAATTTTTCATACACTAGTGCATGTGTCTGATGAAAATTATTTTGACCAACATCATAGAGCATGCCTTCTATTCTATCTTCCATAGTAGCATCCTCCTTAGTGTGTGATATTATACAAATATTTCTCACTTTATCGTGCCATATCCATGATATAATTCTTCAAAAACTCATCACAGATAAAATATTCTCGTATTATGTTTAATTCTTGTACTCGCCCATTAACACAATTAATGCAAGAGCAATAAATTTTTTCATTCACATTGGGTCCATTTTGTTTAGCATATTCCAAGAACTATTCAATGTCATTTTCATACTCTTCGGATACACGACTCACATTTATCCAACTTCAATCCATTTTGGTAATTTATTTCAAAGAAACTCAATTAAATTATATATGTAATATGTAATTTATTTACAAAAGGTGATTATTCTTCTATTTTTTTATAATAAAAAATAGTACTTAAAAGTTAAATAATCAATTAAAGACATGAATTTCTGACGAAAATTTGGCACAGTCTCCTTTGTATTTTAGAACAAATTAGATTTAATAGTATACTCAAACCTACACAAAACATTCATACTCACACTCTTCATAAAAAAACAAATTTCATTTTTGTTGGCATCAAGGCATACTAAATATAATATCTTACTATGACAAACTTTAACAATCAAACAACATTTCTACATAAGTAATTGACCAACTATGAGAAATTTCATATCCTTAGTTATACACATTACAATATTATGAAGTCTACTCAGCCTTCAATATTTATTATTATCCAAGCACAATTGGTGCAAAAAATACCTGAAGTTATTGCGAGTTTGTAACCAAAGAGGGTTTACAGTGTCATTAGAGGGAGTGAGGAGTGAATGCTAGCCACGGGAGAAAAAGAGACATTGTAAGACCACAGGAAGGAGAAACATCATAACTAGTTGCTCTGATTATTATAATGTGTTTTCAAGAGAAAGAGAACAACAGAGACCTGCCATGTTGCGACAGAGAGACAATAAAGACTCATTATGCTGATGTGAGAGACCCACTATGTCACAACAAATACCCACCTGTCATGATAGAGAGACAACAAAGAGGTGATAGAGAACCACTGCATGCGTAACAGAAGGATGACAAAATCCTATCGCATCAACACAGATAAGTGTCAAAGAGGTCACGAAGACCTAATGTCATCAAAGGGGCAACAAAGAGGTTACGAGCTTCGACAATTCTACTTATGAGGAGGTTGATGACAAATGTGTTTTGATGGTGTGAGGAAGAGAGGAGGAGGAAGATGAATTGACAATCAAGTTGCCAAGAAGAAGATAGAAAGGGATCTCAAGGAGTTTAACAAAACTTTTTATATCGGTTCAATATTTAACTGATGTAGAAATAATGATCCACCATCAATTTTATATTTAACTAATATTGAATGTTACTTTTGACATGATTATCACACAATTAATGTTAAAAACTTTTTTATATTTATAAATATAATATATTTTTATATTTATAAATATAATATATTTTTATATTTATAAATATAATATGACAATGATATAGTTGAAATATTGAAATTAAAATTTATAGTTGTGATTTTCTTAGGTGACACTTGCATCAAAATTTAATGCCACCCATTTAACTATATGTACATCAATTTAACCTTCCCCTATAATTTTTATATTTGTAAATTTCATGTACCTAATAACAATTTTATGATTTTTTTAATAATTTACAGCTCACTTGATAACTGTACAAATTTGACATTATATATAAACGTTGGTCGAATTTATTTTTATTGGTATATAATTTTCAAAACTGAAACTATAGACATTATACATTTATACTTATTACAGTATAACACATTAATAAACAATTCCATTAATTAGTGTCTGTGATAAAAGTTTGATGGCAAGTTTGTAAGAAAAAAATGAACTGTTTAGAGTGATCAAATGGCTAAAAGTAAACTTAAAAGATGATCAATGTTAATTAAAAAAGAGAAAGAGAATAAAACAAGAAAAAAAATAGAGAAATGAAGAGAAGAAAGAAACAACACATAATATGCTGTATAGAAAAACAAGAAATAGGTATAGATGGAAGAGGTGTACTTTGTTACTGAGAGGGAGAGAGAAGGCAGAAAGATTGAGATGCAGATTACATGCTCTTACCATCCATTCGTGTTGTGTTATTTCAAGTGTACACGTTGAGTTGAGGACCACTCTGCAGAATCCTGCAACAGATATAAAGTAGCTAACAAAAAATAAAGAACCGACACCAACTAAATGTACCACACACATGGTCCATGAAAGAGAGAAGTTGGCTTTCTCAGTCTTTCTGAACTCTCATGTTGCCAATTAATTAACGTGGTCGCCTCACAACGCACCCAGCATGAAACCGTGAGAAGAAAAAAACGTGTGCTCACACAGAAATCAAGTACTGTGTCAGTGGTGGTAAATCTATTTTTTACCAAAGAAAAACCACTGTCATTATTATCCCCAATATCTGGCATGTTACTCAGCATTCATTCCTCGTCCGTGGACAACTCCTTCTAATTTGATCTTCAATTCCATCGAATTACAGCTTCAAATATGTGAATGTCCATGCACATAGATGAACGAATCATGTTGAATCAACATGACTGGTACGAAACAAATCCCTGCATTGAAACCAAAACAAATCAAAGGAAGCACAAGGTAGCACAACAACCGATGGTAATGTTACGTGAATTTGGTTTATTGTATTCTTTATTATTTTAGCTGAAAAATTCAGAACCATTTATATCAATTCAAAAGTCAATAGATGACATGTAGTCCACACATTTATATGATGTGGTTGAAGGTTTGGTTTGGTTTAGTTTTTGTTTTTTCAAATAGTTTCGAAAAATTATTCTCAGATATAAATTAAAAAAATAATAACTTTTATTTAAACATTATTTTAAATAAAAGATGACAAATCAATAAACAATAAAAAATAGTTAATTAATTTTAAAAAATTTATAACGATAAGCATCTGTGTGGAATTAATGAAAATAAAAAATACTTCTTTTATTATTTTTTAATTTTAAAAATAAAAATAATTTTTTAAAATATTTTAATAGAATGGTCATCAAATAAGTTTTTTTATTTTTGAAAATTCAAGAACTAAAATTTAGTTCTAAAAACAGTAAGTAAACTTATTTTTAGTAAAGGAAATCAATGATAGTCAAAATTATCTCAAACTTTATTTCCCTTCCTGCTAATCAAGATTAATTTCTACTTTTAGTTATTTATATAATTTTTATCTTCAGTTTGATAATTTTTTATAAAATATTTAATTTATTCCTTTGTATTTGTAAAACTATTTTATCATATTAGTCTTATAAATAACTTTTAGATATTAATAGCTAAAAATTAGTATATAATAATAATGATAATAATAATATGTTTTCTGAAATATTTTCATATGTGATTAATATAATTAATAACAATATTTAAATGTTTTTATATTATCATTCTTAATCCTAGGAAAATATCATGAGTTGACATAACTATCAACTATATTAAAAATTTAATGTTGCACTCGCAACTATTATAATAACAGAAGATTAGTGAGAAACACCACTAACAACATAGATCAACCCTTGTCACTAAAAGTGTTGGTCTTGCACTAATTATATAGATTAAAAATTGCAGCAATCATATATGGCTTAAAAAATAAAATTATTTTTATAGTTGTCACTATTTAACGACACTTATTGACTAATGACATAGGATATACTAAGATAAATTATATGATCAAGGTTGATTATGAGAAAACATACTATTCTCTGATTTGAAGTTCCTATTATACATGTTAAGGAGAATGCGACTTGGTGAAAAGTGAATTGAGTGAATTGAACAAAATGCTTCTCATCATCTACTATTTTGGTGTTAGAAAAAGAAGTCCTTCACAGAGCTTATATCCCAAAGAGGACTAAGGCATGGTGATGAGAATGTCTTCGACCCAAAATTGGAAAAATAAAATAATGTTCACGGTGAATATTAGTGTAATTCAATCTTACTTATTGTAAGATGGAGTTTGTATCTTAATATATATAAGTTAGTTATATTTCTAATTGACTTAGAGTATCAACACACTCTTCGGACGGATATATGAACTTTATGAAAACATGAAACTAAAATGGTAATCCAATAACAAAAAAAAATAATATATAAGTTCAATAATTTTAATAAAATAAACTTTGTTATCATATTAGAAAATGTAAGTGAGTTTAACACAATCCTATAAAATTAATGTAAGATTTATACCTCATGCTTTGATTTCTATTATTTTTATAGGAGTGATGCGCTCTTTGGAAAATAGTGATGGGGGTTATTTGATAATAGTGATGCTCTATACAAAGATCATAGGCATGGAAATGGTGGAAAGCGTCGTATGGAGGACCTTATTAGTAATCTGGTGTTTCGTATATTTTCTATTAATAAATTATTTTGTTTTTTATTTTTATTTAATATGAAATTTCAAGTAAGAGCGAAATTTTCAAATACGTGGCAGAGGAGCATGCCTGGTGGGTGATATCAATCACACGTGGAGAATTTAACTTTTGCAGTTTGGTCCTTTTTTTTTTTAATTTTAGTAGAATTGCCACATTCTCAACTGAGGGATTGCATACAAGATGTGTGTAACGATTATGGAAGACTGGGTATTACGAAAACTGGTGTGATAAATGAGAAATAGTATATTGGTATTATTATCCGAGGATGTTATTATAACGTATACGAGATTGAGATATATTTATTTCTACATAAAATATTGGTGTCATTTTAAAATTTAGAGTCGAATTTTATTTCACTTTCATCTTAATCTTTGATAAAAGATTATATTTTAATATATTTTAGAGTTTCATATTATTTACTAATTAAAATTAATAGTAGTTTATATATATTATTTTCTCTTAATTTATTAAAATATTTTTATAAAATAAAATAAGACAAAAATTCTAAAATAAATAACACCCCAAACATAAAAATCAACTCCAGCATACACGAGTTTGGGTCCTGGTAGTTGTTAGTTTGCATTTTTATTCATTCATCATGTGTAACAATTAAAAACGCAGCAATGCCATCTTGCAGATAAGGGCACTTTCTCATTTCACAACTTCAATCAGAAAAATTGAAATTATGAAATATACGATTAGTCCTTGTTGGTACAATTTTGATCCTCAAAATATGTTACAGCTCTTGTACACTGTCAAGATCTCAATAATCCTGCAACAGAGAGACTATACAAGCCGATTATGTAGGGGACCAACCACGTATATAATCCTTCTGTTTTCAAACCAAATTTACATAAAAGAGGTGGTAATCAAATATATAAATCATTTTTTTAATTATTATATATTCTTTTTTTTATCTTTCTATTATTTTATATTCTTTATTCATTTTACATGATATTTTTTTCTCTATCCAATTATACCAAAATGAGTAAAAAAAACTCCTAATATATAGATAATAAATTATTAGTTATTATTATTATTATTATTTATTGTTTCATTTTATTTATTACCACTATTACTTGTATAATTTTTGCCTAACTAGGAGTAAAAAAATAGTTCTAGTAGAGTTATTGATGTCATCACTAACAATTTAAAAGAAAATTTCAAACTTGACAATAGTTTCTTTAAAAGTTAAAAGAAAAATAAAAAGTAGTTTTTAAATAACTGGAAGTAAAAATCACTTCAAACAACTTAAAACTTCTCATGAAAATAACTTATTGATGAAAAAAAAAAAGAATTATTCGGATCCAGAGAAGAAGATTATATCATGCGCGCAAGCCTCCGAAACTTTTACTTGATGTGATTAGCTAGTGTACTTATTGCTTTTATATTTTGCATGATATGAAACCAAACAATATCAGCTACCTTAATAATTGAAAATATGTTCCCACCAAAAAAAGTTGGAAAACTACGTGAGCAATATGATTGAATATGATATATATTTTTTAAAAAGAAATAAATTATACTACTCATAAATATTATGAATCTTATAGCATGAATTTTAAATAAAGGAAAAATTAAGTGATCAAGTGAGGGATTTGAAATTAAGAGAGAAAAAAATCTAATCAAGTTTGTTGGTATTGATGGTATTGATGAGATGAATTTAGTATTTACATTATATATATATATATATATATATGAGCCAACTTAGATAATTATATAAATTAAAATTAACAGTTGTATAATATATATATATATATATATATATATAATTATTTAATATCAACATATATATAAGATAAAATATAATTTAATTATATTCGATATTTCATATTATAAAAATAGTAAATTATTCTATTATATAACTAATTAATTAATAGCAAATATACTTATGATAATGTGTCATAACAGTAAAAAAATTATTTGTTCCAAGAAAAATGTGAAAATTAAAAAAAAATTACAATTTTTATGTTATAAGATGTAATTGTGAAACAGTAAAATATCCAAGTGAAAGAGTAAAATATCCAAGTCAAAGAGTGATAAAGAAAAAGATAAAAATATATGGAAGTAAAAAGATAAGTGTTTGAAATTGAAATGTAATAAAAGGTGAAAGAAGAAAAAAAATGTGAAAAATAAAAAGATGAGGGAGAAAAATATATAAATAAAAAATTGTGTAAGAAAATAAAAATGATATTTATTATTATGATTATTATTATTTTGTATAAAAATATATTATAATTAGTTTTGTATATTTAAAAAATAATTTTATTTAATTTTAAATTTTATATATATATATATATATATATATATTAAAAAAATTGGGGACTGTAGTCACCCCACATCTTGTGGTTCTGCCTCTTCTCTCTCTCTCTCTCTATATATATATATATATATAATAAAAATATACAAACTATAAACTCAAATTATTATTAGATCTTAATAAAATAGTGACGATTAAAAAACTATGCATAAATTTTTAAAATATTCATATTCATATACATATGCATGAGTTGTGTAGTTCATAGATTGAAAGTTCTCAGTTCTTAAAATAAAACTATTCTCATTTTATATGTACCTCCATAGAGTAAGGTTTTGGTCTTTTTAAGTTTGTTTACATCAACAACAATATTATTTATTTTATTTTATTTTACTTTTGGAGTTTTGTTTAAAGGTTTCTTGTAGAATAGATAAATTTTAATATTATCTAGTTAAAAGTTACTTTTGTTCGAGGAAGCATATAAATATTAAGTGTTCAATTAGATGATAAAGTAACAAGCTTCAAAATGATAATGAGTGTTAGGAAAAAGTAAATACAAGATTAACAGATGGTAGGCATTAAACACAAGCCATCCATGATTAAGTCAATGTAAGTGATTGCTTTTCTTGAACCAATATTAGATGATGATGATGATGATGATTAGGAGAGTAGAATTGGTTGCATGATGTTCCTAAGAGAAATGCAGAAGAGGAGGATGAAAATGTAATTTTGATGTGTCCTTGTTTGTACATTTAAAATGAAAAGATAAAATGTGGTTTGAAAGAAATGACACTGTTGGGGTTCGGTCCCAGAGATCGGTGGTGCCGGTACTTTGAGAAGCCGAAGCCATTTTCAGATTTTGTGGCGTTGTCAGGCTTCACTCAGAGATGCATCAGCCTCCCCAAATAGTCCATATAACAGACCCCACTCTCCTTCCATTTCTTTCATTTCGTTAACACACAAACCTCTTCCCATTTTCTCTTCTCATCACATCAGTTTCTACCTCCAGCTAATATGAACAACTCCCCCACCCACGACTTCATGAACGTCGATTCTTTCTCTCAGCTCCCCTTTCTTCGCCCCCCGCCACCCTCCAAAGATAAACCCATTCGCCTCTTCGGCCAAGACTTCTCCCACGCTCCCCAAACCTCCCACACCTCTTCCCAACACAATTCCGACAAGGACCACGCTCACAACAACACCACCACCACCAACACAGAAAACGCCGAGGCCACCCGCAGATTCGAGTGCCATTACTGTTGCAGAAACTTCCCCACTTCCCAGGCCTTGGGCGGCCACCAAAACGCCCACAAACGAGAGCGCCAACACGCCAAACGACACCTCCACTCCGCCATGCTCCAAACCACCCTCTCCGATGCTAACTCCTACGCCTTCATCAACCCCACCTACGCTTCCTCCGCAATCTCTCATTCTTCTTACCCAACGTGGGATTCTAACGCTGCTCGTGGAAGATTCTACGGAAGCTCCTACTCTCACCAACTTCAACCCATCACTGGAAGCCCCTTGGGCTTGTGGCGAATTCCCAACGCCACTGCAACCACTCACCCCCAGAGTAACCCTATTTTACACCACGAACGCGCGTTGCCTCTGCTTGCTCGCGAGGAAATGGTGAACGCGAGAATGGGTCCCTCACCCTCTGGATCGCAAAACCGGTTCAGTTATGACCCCAAACCCACCATAAACGACCATGTGAGTTTGGATCTTCATCTGTAACATCAATTTTACAAACTTACACTCGTTCGTATACATGTCAATAACATCTCCAGCTCCCACCAGCTCGGGATGGTATATATATAATTTGAGAATTTTTCATCCTGTTATTGTTGGATCTTTATGCTCATCAACGAGATTCTCAGATCAAGTTATGATGATTCTCATATCAATCACTGTGTTTACAGCATCTTCTTTTCTTTAACTACGATCTTTTTTAACACCTCAACTTTTGCACTAGATTTTTTAGTTTTATTTTTTAATTTTCATAAAATCTCGATTTCTTTTTATATACCTATAAACACAAAGACTTTATTAACACTTCTTGTTCCTTTCTTCTTGTAATCCATCATATTAAGCATAAGTTTCTCCTTTCTTTCTGAATGAGTATAGATATTTTTTTGGGCGACCAAGTCTATTTTCCTTGTCATTTTCATTCTCTTTATTCTTTATATCTCTTTCTGCCTGGTCTAAATATTAAGAGTGGTGATTCCTGAACACTTTTCTTTTAAAATATATTAATGTCTATTATTTATTTCAATTTTTATCACAGTAATATCACTTTCTCGTGCTTCTCTCCTTATTAACTGTCTACTAAATTTTGGTATTATGGTTTCCACAAATCATTTTCAAAGAATTGTGTCAAAAGATCAGTACTAAATTGTTCAATTTTTTTATTGTGGACTTATGTTGCATAAGGACTAATCATCAAAAATAATTTTGTGGGTCTAAATCTTAACTTTTAGTCGTCTTACACATGAGTCGTTTAGCCTTTTATGGTTAGAAGTGAGTCCCTTCTGCCATATAGAAAGGTAGATGGGGACAGTAAAATTGGAGAGGAAGATTTTAGATATATGGTACTGTATTAAGTGTCATTGTATATAATACTTCTTCTCAATTTATCATTTCCAAACCAGTTTCCGTATGTGATATTATTCTTGATTTAATTTGTGTAGTTAACGAACTAATATTGAGAACATGTAGGGACCACAATTTAGTCCAATGAGACATAGAGAATGGATATGAAATGATTCTGTGAATAGAGATTGATTTGATTTCTTTTTCCATATAAAAATCCAACTAAAAAAGAACATTGTGATAAAAGTATGACTAAACTTAATTATAGTATAATATCAAGTTCGAGATAACATGTACAGCTTTTGTAAAATCAGATCTAAAAAGTTTTTGGGTATCTTAAAATTTACTTTTATTCCTTTTAATCTTTAAAATTTACTAAAATCGTATTATTTTCAATTGTTGAAGGATTAAAAATACATACAGTTTAGAAACTATAACAACGACAAAATTAGATATCATTAAAAATTACAGACTTATTTAAGCTTATTATTCATTAACGATATAAACAACATATTTTTTTGTTCATGTATCATCGATTTTTCTTCTGATTTTCTAAATACGGAACTTTTAAATCTATATCCCTTTTCTTGATTTTGAAAAGTAGAATGAAGAGAGAGAGCATGGAATATATGTAGAAGGAGCTAGTGTGGTAGCTTCTACTACTTTGGTTTTGCATACTCACCCACGTCACTCTCGGCCTGCACAAGCTGAGAAAATTGTCCACTCGTGTGGGGGATCATGTAAAGCGTACAAAACAGTTGAGCGCGCATGAACATTTTGTCCGAAACACGTGTCGTGATTCTTGCACATTACCGGACAGGTATGGTGCCGACAGAGGTGGGTTCAGATTCAATGCAGTGTGGACAACGTTCGATGGTATCTGTTCAAATTTTGCAGATGAGAAAATGATATTTCATCGCCATTTGCTGGCACCATAGTTCTCCAAATTAACATCCAACGTCTGAATAATATATTATTATGCTCCTTTTGTTCTCAGTCACTTCTTAGTTTCCAGTGCATTGTTTATAAGGGGAGAAAAAGACATGTGGATGTGTTTCTATCAGCTTTTCATGTCTTTTACTCTTTTATGCTTAATTGCGATGCAAGATGGAACCTCGTTATTATATATGAGACCTAGGGCTTATGAGACAAACGGGCCAATACATATCCTAGTCAATTAATAAACACTCACACTCATCTAGTTCTCTAGTTTTCTCTTGCTCTTTCTATGAATCTATAAATGGGAAAAGGGACATTTGGCAAGAAAATGTCACTCCTTGTTCTGGTGTTCATTACGGTTAGTTTAGGTTGATTATTGGAGTTGACTCAAAGGGTGGAGTTTTTTTTTTTTTTAACCTGGGTATTTCTACGGAGAATCAGTGGTTAAACTCTGAAAATACTCATATATACTTAAAACTCGGACCAGTAATAACATGTTTGAAGGACAAAAAGTGTTTGATCATCGTATCATACCATATGAGTAAAAGTGCAGTTGCATTGGAAAAAATTGTGGAGGATCCCGAGGTGGAATTAGAATTGATGTAATGGGTAGGTGATCATTCAAAATTGAAGTGACGAGTTAATTACTAATTTGATGAGTAACGTCCCATACTAGGGAGACATGGGTCACTTATTAATGTCTTGTCTGCAAACGCAAATTAATTAAATCTCATCATCATTCAGGGGCAGTGACCGAGGGCTTTTGACTTCAAAATGACAAAACCAACCCCTTAAGAAAAGGATTTATCAAGGAACAAATGAACATGGTAGTTAGACTACCATCTTTATTTTCACATCTTCTGTACGTTTGCTTTTGTGTCTGACATATACATCGAGAGAGAGAGAGAGAGAGAGATTAGATGGCTTAGATTTTGGTGGTGGTGATTTGAAATGTGTGGGGCTAAGAGATTCCTTCTCGAAGAGACGGAGGACATGTATGTTTAATAACAATAATAGTGTAATACCTAGCTGGTCAAGAATCTCATTAGGATCAGTGATGACAGTGAATGGTAATCAAAACTCATAAATTTTAACTTCAATGTGATCACGGTAAAAAATAAATAAATAAATAAACGCAACCTGTCTACTCTATAATCATCTATTTCTTGACAGCACAAAATTTACATGACAGTAGAAACTACCCAAATTTGTACCAGAACAGAATTTTCAGACCACTTCTACACCCTTACTTGTCATTTTATATCAGATGCATCGTTAAAAAGCATGGTGATTTTGAACATATTATACACGGACTGTGAAAGTATCCCGCGCATAAGCATAATCGTACTGCATTACTGACATTTATTTAATCGTTTCCTGCAAAAGTAAAACATATAAATTTTGTGATCCTGACCTATGAATAATGTCTGCAGAATTTAGAAGCCTTTATTTCATGATAGATCGAGTATATTGTGTGGACAGGGAAATAAAAGAAGATAACCTTTGGAAAAATTAATCGCATTGATCTTTGAAAAAGAACCCCGTTTGGTGACTTCAGTAAGCATCTTTTATATATATATATATATATATATATATATATATATATATATATATATATATATATATATATATCACCATCATTTTAAAAGTTCCACCAAATTAATGAAAAAATATATAGATGTAGAATTTTAAAAACGTAAATGAATTCTTCTGACAACTGTGAATTAGTTATCTCCTCTAAAGCATATCATAAAAAAGGCAATTCAAACAAAGGTTCAATATTTGTGATTTTGGATTGTAAGCATCAATCTTCGTAGAATCATTGGCAAAAATATATTAATTGTCACAAAATGGACAAAGATTATAAGGAGAGGATCACGCATTATCCTTTTAGATTTTCAATATATATATATATATATATATATATATAACAAAATTATACATTTTAAACAAACTGGATTATATATGTTAAAAAATATTGAATTAATTCTATACAAAAAAAGCTAATGGAATTTCAATAATGAATTATTCTTTTAGATTTTCTATTTCATATCTTTGTTCTTTGATAACAAATTGAATAATATAACAACAAAAAAGAATCCAATTGTATTTTTTTTTCACAAATCTATTTTGCATAAGGATGATGAAATGAAGAATTTATAAACAACATGTGCTTTATCTTTTTTGAAAAACATGGCAAACACTTGTTAAACCGTTACCGTCTAATAAAACACAATCTTAAAAAACAAATTAAGAAATAAAATAAGGTGAAAAAATATAAAGATTTTTAGTCTAGTTCATCTCTAATCCAAAACTAATTTTCAAGTCTCTTAAACTCTAATTTGATTTCATTCTTCAAGCAATACTCTAAATATTATTTCACTCAAGACCTCTTGAAACTTCTTGTTTTCACTTTAAAAAGGCAACTTTTCAACTATTTTGTCTGATATAAATGGATGTATAAGTTTAGGTACACAAATCTTTATTTCATAAATTTACATTTACAGAGAAATGAAATCACTTTCAATACAAAATAGTATAAGTTGTTCTCTATTTAAAAGCACTTTAGTATTTGTAAGCATTTTTCAAAGATAGTTATATTACAAAGCTTCTTCTTTTATTGTTTCATCATGCCATATAGAACATGTTTTACTTTTGACACTATCTACTTTCTCTTTATGATAGTTGCAGGTAGTCTTATTATACAAAAATCTTATTTAGTTGTTTTCTTAATCAAAACACACATTAGGGTCATTAATCACCTTTCTCCCATTTTCTATTTATATAGAATGATTCATAGATATTACATGACATTTCAATTAACATACTAAATAAGTTTACTATCAATAATTTTTCATATACTTAAATAATAACAGAATGATATATCCTGTCGCATATTAACTCAACAATTCATCTTCTAACTTTAACTATTAACTAACTTTTTTTAATTATTGTTTCTAAGTTACCCCGGATAAGTGTGTAAAGGCCCACACGAGAAAATAGGAGGCCCAAGTGTTAGAAAGGCTATGTTGTGGAGGTTCATTTTTTCTAAGACTCCATATTTTTTTCTACGCCTTCACGGCGTCTTGTGTATAATATTATTCTGAAAATAGCTTTGCAAAATATTTTTGAAAAAATTAATTTAAAATATTTTTAGAAAGTTTATGATAGACTAAATCTATAGACTATTTACAATAAAAATATTATTATTATTTTATATAAATATGAAATAAAAAAATAATACAGACAGAATGTAACTTTATTTACTAGAAAAATATTCTAACGGTAACAAAGTTCAAGTGTTTTAATTTATTTGTTACTGATTTTTATGTTTTGCGAACTTTTTCTTTTTCTTTTTCTTTTCCTTTTTCCCTTACTTCTTGGATAGAGTACTGTATGGAATAATTGGTCTGAGTCATAAAAACTAATCTGTTGTCGGAGTAACTATTGCTTAAACCATTAAAAACCAACTTATTAAGCTCATTTAAGGTAAACAACCAATTCAATGCATGCGTGTTCTAAAAAAAATGCTTAATTTTGAATAATTATTAATATGTCAATATTTTCTTTCATTTTAAATTTTATATAAATCAATAAAATCAAGTGTCTTTGAAGCTCTTGCTAATGATTTACAAATGTAAAATATTAAATAAAAATAAAATTACAAATATTTTCATTTTTAGTTTGCTTGACAAATATCAAATATGACACTTAGTCGAAATGATCATATATATTTCTTGGTACATGTTGAAATTATCTTCTATATTAGAATTTAGATATATTAATAAAATTTAAACAATCAATGTATCCATGATTCTTTTTCTTTATAATAACAAGCAACTACTTCTCTTTAAAAAAAGATAATAAATTTAAAACAAGATAAAAGTCTAAAAAGATTCATTGTTTAAAAAAATAAAGAGTGGATGTACTATTAACATCTGATTAATCATGTTTTGCTAATTATTAATCAATTATGGCAATACAATAATAATGAATTGGTCCAATAGACATAATTAAATTTATCTAAGTTTCGACAAAAATTTGTTCATTTTTCTCGCAACATTTGTCATGAATAGACGTGGAAAAAGCACAAAAAATAAAAATAAAAATAAAAATAACTGATGGATAATACATGGATAGGTTATTTCTTTGACTTGTTGGTGAAATTTGTTTGTATATCTTATTAGGAATTAAGGAAATCATGTACCCTTCAAAATTTTATAACGTTTTTTCTTTATATTTATAATTTTAGTTATTTACATTTAATAATTATTAAATATATTTATTTATAATTTTATTTTTATTTTATTTTTTTATATTTATTTTCTTCGTGATCATTCTAAAATTTCAGAGTCATGAGCTCTATCAAAACTTGAAATGCATATTTCCTTTTTCTACAATTAAATCTTTTAGAATTTTATATTACTTTAGTATATCATATAATTATTAAAATATAAATTTAATTATATTATTAATATAATTACAGTTTAATCCATATATAAATATACATTTATTTTATAATATTCGTATTACTTGGAATTTTAGCCCAATAACGAGTAATCTTAAATTTTATATTTTAAATATAGTTAATTTCCTAGTTTAACTGTATACTCTCTTTTTTTAATTTTGAATGATATACTAAAAACAATAAATGTTCAATAATATAAATCATGTAAGCAAACTATTTTTCTTATTTTGACAACATTCGAAATAATTGTTCAAATTTTAAATACAAAAGAAAAAAATATATTTATCAATGATCATCTTACTTAAATTACTTCAACTAAAAAATAATATTGAATTTGACTCTTAAAAGCACATTGGTTTTTTAATAATCTCAAATTAAAGTTTTAAAAGTGTAATTAATTATGTCCAAGATTCAAATGAATATTTATATTATATAACTAAAACTTATAAAAAAAGAATCAAAATATTATATATAAATTTTGTAAAACCTATGCATTATATATTATATTTACTATAAATAACTTATATTATGATATATTATTATTTTCAGCTATTAATAGTTTTGTAAAATATTGAAAATTAATTTTAAAAAATAAAAAAATTGAAAGATGTAAAATTTCACCAATTACGCTTTTATTAAGAAAATGTTGAAAACGTTTCTCCTCAAGAATATTACTTTGGTTTATTTTCTAAGTGTCTATTTTTTTTTTTATTTTTTGACCTATTACTATTCACCTTGAAAAAAGAATATCTCATGAATTATCTTTGAATAAAAAATATTTCTCATAAAAAATAGGATAAATAATTATATTTATTAAAATTAAAATATTCATTTGATTTTTATTTATTATCCATTATTTTATTATATTTTTAATCGTGGTTCAGTGTCATTTATAATTGTTTAAAATTCACGAATAAAAAATTTTGAGAACCTGAGAATTTTTATTATATAATATCTATTACTAAGTATGATTTTTCATAAAAGTAAATTTCTTTTATAATTAAAATTATATATATAACAGAATTATTTTGTTTAACAGTAATAATTAATAATAATTAAAAATAATAAGTAGTATTATATAAAAATTACACAACAAAAAATTTAATTATATTATTTATAAGCTAAATCTCGACGGAAGCATAAAAGCAACTTGTTATTCCAGAAGCATCACACAAGAAACCAAAGAGAAACAAGAATAAGACTTTTAAACGATGCTAAATTGCTTTAAAGTTATATCAAACACCGTTAGGTTAATAATGGAACACGTAGACATTGTACTCCACAACAGCATCCCCACTATTTAGATCAAACGTGTGAGTCTTGGCCTGAGCATACCCACGTGCGAACCGGAAAGCCCCGCTTCCTCCAACTATTGGCATTTCCCTCACGGCGGAGAACACCGCATTCCGCCCCAGCATGCTCAGCGTGCTGCCATTGAATTTCCCTTCCGTGAACACAAAGTTCATTACCATCAACAGGCCCGTTTCGTATTGGGCCGCAGATCCGTATATTCCTTGGGCCTTGCCGACGAGTTTGGATCCGGGTTCGGGGCCAACGGTCAATGGGTCGTCGACCATCGCTATGCTTCCGAAAAGCGTGGAGGAAGTGTTGGTGGAGTGGGCCTCGGCCACTTTAACAGCGGTGGGCTTCGGGCCGCTTACAATGTCGTGGAAGAAGAAGTGAAGGTGGCTGAGCTTCTCCTTCTTGAGGCCCAAAGACGTTGCAGACACGCTCCGGTGGAAAGGAGGGGATTTTGCGGTGGCGAATGAGAAGAGGAGGGTGAGAACGACGGAGGTGAAAATGGATGTGAGGCTTTTGGGGTTGGCCATTGCAATGACAGGGAAAAGTAGAAGGTGTGAGGAAAGAGAAAGTTTTTTATTAGAATTTATAGAGCGGAGAATTTGAGTGAACGACCCGGTTGAACAATTTTCTGAAACTTGGCACCAGACCTGACGGTGACTACGACAAACTTAAGGGACCAAGACTTGTTTTCTGTGGAATATCTTTCTTTGTTTCTTGTCTACTAAACCACTCTACACTTCTTGCTTTAGGAAATATATTTTCTTTGCACACTATCTTTTGTACTATTTTTGTATGTATTAAAATTTATTCAAATATATAAAAAATTAAAAAGAAAGAAATGTTAATTAAAATATATATATAAAAAAACAAAATTTATAATTGTTAACACAAATTCACTCTATTTTTTATTTATATTTAATATAAATGTGGGAGTTTTGGATCATTTATCTTCACATATTTTATATTAATATAAAATATGGAAGTTTTGGATATTTTACTTTATTTTCTTCATTACTTTATTTTTAATTCAATAAATCTTATTAATAATGTTAATCGAGGGATATTCAATAAAAAAACAAGTTTTAAATGTTAAAAAAATCTCATGGACTTGAATATTAACCAAATTTATTTTTTAAAATTGAATTTAATGCTACTATTTCAAAAATTTCTTATTTTTAAATCTAAACATCATTTGTAATAAATATAATTAAAGATAATTTAGGAAAAATATATTAGTATTATAAAAAACAAAAATATCAAATGAACTTAATTAATATTCTTTATATTAATATAATAACAGTTAAATTTTATTATATTTGAGTTCTTATATTAAGAAGAGGATAATGAGTTTAAAGGTGTTATTAATGAATATTTTAATTGATGTATTTGTTAATTGATTAATATTTATTTTACTAAAGGTGTCATTATTCTCTTGGACTTATTTCTGGGAAAAAATATGGTCGAATTAATTGTACTCAAATATAAACAAATTTTAACTCCCATATCTCCGTTTAATATTTTTAAATAAATTCTTGCATATAATTCTAGGAATCATTTACAATAAATATGACTGACGAAATTTAGAAAATATCGTGTGAAATAAAAAAATATTAAATGAACCTATCTAAGTAGATGTGAAATTAATTAATTTTGCTTATGTATGAATCCAAAGGAAGGATTAATGAGTATTTGAATTTATGTAATTCTCAATTAATATATTTATGTAATTAATAAAGGTGTGTTATTGTAGTGAGTATTTTCAATTCATGCGTAAGAAACTTTTAATATAATGACATATTATGAAAATAATTAACATAGTTTATGCTGTTATTTTTTAAAAATGAATATTATTAATAAATTAAATTTATTTCCCAAGATAATATTATTCGATATGAAAATAATGAATGAAATATTTATTATTTTGTAAAGACCTACATGATTTATTAAACTATTAAATAAAACATCATTTCAACTTAAAATAAATCCACAAAAATTTTGGAAATTTATGTAACATCAGATTCAAGATGTCGTGAGAGGACATATGGATTTACCAATAACGATATGTAATAAGAGAGAAAAAGAAAATTTCAACAAAATATATAACAAGAAGGCATGTGAATTTGCTAATAATAAATAAGATGTAATAAGTCAAGAAAAGAATTGAAATTATGAATAATGTGATAACAAAATATATTAAAAGATAAATAAGTAAAAATGAACTGTATTATTTATATTTTTGTTATTATTATTATATTAATTAAAATAATTATTGAATTATTTTGTTTCTAGAGAGAATTGTGTATCTATCATTCTCCTTCTTCTTTAAGTACTTAGTGGAACAACTACTTCTCACAAAGAAAGAAAAATCTAGTTTTTTATTCATTGGATGTTAATGGTAATGTGATTAGGCAAGGCATAATGATTTCGCAAGTCATGATGGTTTATTAAGTCAACATTTCCAACTAAAGTCACACATGGTTAAACCACAGAAGAATAAAGACACCGACGATAAAGCAAAGAGAAACTAAATTCAAGAATACGAGAATAAAAGGATGCTATGTTGCTAAATGAAGCAATGGTTAATAATGGAACACGAAGACGTTGTACTCCACGACAGCATCCCCTGTCTTGAAATCAAACGTGTGAGTCTTGGCCTGAGCATACCCACGTGCGAACCGAAAAGCCCCGCTTCCTCCTACGATTGGCATTTCCCTCACGGTGGAGAGCACGGCGTTCCGCCCCAACAAGCTCAGTGTGCTGCCATTGTATTTCCCTTCGGTGAACACCAAGTTCATGATCATCAACAGGCCCATTTCTTCTTGGCCCGCAGATCCGTAAATTCCTTGGGCCCTTCCGACGAGTTTGGATCCGGGTTCGGGGTTCACGGTCAATGGGTCATCGATCATCGCCATGAGCCCGAAAAGCGTGGAGGAAGTGTTGGTGCTGCGGGGCTCGACCACTCTGACCGCGGTGGGCTTTGGGCCGCTGACAATATCGTGGAAGAAGAAGTGAAGGTGGCTGAGCTTCTCCTTCTTGAGGCCCAAAGACGTCGGAGATATGGTTCGGTGGAAAGTAGGGGGTTTAGCAGTGGTGAATGAGAAGAGAAGGGTGATAATAATGGTGAAAATGGAAGTGAGGTATTTGGCGTTGGCCATAGAGATAGTGGAATTGGTGACAAGCAATTATGGAAAACTAAGAGTTTTGACGGTGAAAAAAGAGAGTTTTGGAGTCTCTAAGTGCTGAATATAGTATTCTCTAATAAACCATTTATATAAGGGATGGAATCATTGAAATGTGGAAGACTGTTGAAGTGATTGACCTGCTAAGAGAAAGAATTAGGTTAACAACTTTCTTAAACTTGGCACCCCCTCTTGACTATGATGCAGAAACATTTTGGATCAAGACTTTTTTATCATGCCAACAAGCCTCGTGGAAATTAATCATTAAAAATCTCAAAAGAAAAAATATTTTTTCTCATAATATTTATATTTTTTACTGTAGCGTATAGCAATATGAATACTCAATAATCCATTATTTAAGAAATAAAAAGCTAAAAAAATCGTGTAAATTTTCAAAAAATCTAAGGAAAATGTCAATATATTACTGTCAAAAACATAATACACCCAAGACCTGAATACACTTGACCTGGGTTGATGATGATTAGAAGTAATTTTCATCACTTTCCACGCATACACTCCCCACAGAACTTAGTGGTGTGTCAGAAACCAGATGGGCCAAAGCAACTACACATCCGATTCGTATGGTAAGTGTCAAGTGATTTTTGTTTCTTTAGAAATGTGTCATTTATTTTATTTTATTTTATTTTTATTTTTATTTTCTGCTTTGGTACCACGATAGCACTACTAAACTACAGATCAGATACTAATTTTAAAATTTTAAAAATATGTATTATTTTATTTAATAAAAAATGAAAGAAAAATAATTTCATGTAGTTTCAATTTTGAAACACCGAACACATGAAAAGGAAATAAAACAAACAAATAGTTATAGGAGATGACAAGAATTTATTTTCAATATTGGAAACGATTTGAACCTAAAAAGAAAAAATAGAATTCAAGAGTTAATTACAAGTAACTTCAATTTTACAAGTTGAACTTACATATAAAAAGATTCATTGTACCAATCTGAGAACTAGCTTGTAGCCACTAAGTCTCATCAGAGAAGGATCATATATTTTTACTTTTTTTTGCTAATCCCGTATGATATCACCTTTATTAATCAAATCTTTCCTTTTCTTGCTCTTCAATTTTTGACATTACTATATTTAAATTTTTACTTGACTAATTTGATTTCGTGGAAACCTAAGTATGATTCTTCTTTGAATCTCATGTAATCCTATTTTATTTTATTTGTTTGTTACCATTGTTTGAATTGGAGCTACACCACGGTTTTGAATCAACTCCGGTATTTGGATTTATAAGCATCCATAATAATCCTATTATATAGGAAAAAAAATGAAATTAATAGTAAAAATGATCCAAAAATATAAAATTCAACGTAACGTAAGTGTTACACAGGTGACATGTAGGAGTTTTTTAGATAATTTAGAGTGTTTAGAACTGTTTTTAATAATAAAATATATTATTTTAATATAAATTTTAGTTTAGATAAAGATATCCTAACTTAAAGATAATTATAAGAATATCATTAAAATTTATTATAGTATCTAAAATATTATTTATTTTTTAATTTTGATTTATCGTGGTTTTATTTCTATAATAAGTATATCGGTAAATAAATAAAAAAATCATAACTATGTTAGTCTTATAAATAGGTATAAGTGTATATCATTACTTAAAACACATTTTTTTTATAACTAAATTTCATCTATTTTAAATAATTTTAACCGATATATATATATATATATATATATATATATATTTATTATTGACAAATTTATAAATATATTGAAGGGAATAGATTGAAAGTATAAGAAGTGGTAAAGGAAACTATGGTAGTGGAAGAAGACGAAAAAGACAATTAAGAGTAAAAAGGTTAATTTAAGGATTGATTTGGAAAACATTAATTGAATGTATGAGTGAAATTCAAATATTTATGATTAGGAATTGTTTGGAAGTGTGTATTATTGAGAATAGAAATTGAGTTGAACTAAGAAGTCAATAGGAAGTATTGGATGGTAGTTCGAACATTGAGAATCGAAGAATAGGAAATATCAAATCTAGAGTTGTAAATAGAGGAAAACAAGCTATTAAGAAGAAATTATGCATTTAAGAAATATGCGTAAACATTTATGATTTTGTTACATAACATGCGCACTTATAGATATTAAGTGGCAAAAAAGTGACTCAAGAAAATAAGATAACAGTTATAAGAAAGTAATCATTTATGAATTTTATTTTTTATTTATTTTATTTTATTTTGATTTCACCTTAATTTCAATTGTTTACTTTTAGAGTGTCTTAATAGTTACATCACGAAAATATAAATAGGGTGGAATAAATGTAAAGAATGTAAAGAATGATAATTGTCAAATTGTGCAAAAAAACTTACATTCTCGAAAATGCTACTAACATGGAATAAATATTTTCAATTGAGTTTTTTGCAATATGAATTGTCATCTTTATTGATTTCATTTATCAATTCATTTTTTATCCTTGGTAATGGGTTAAATTTACATTACTACAATTTACTTTCTTCGCTTATTTATCTTTCTTTTCTTTTCCATCAATATACTTTGAAACAGTAATGGAATTAATAAAGACTGAGTGAATTCACAAACTTCTATTCATGGAAAACTTGTTACCGCTAGAATACTAGAATTGGGAATAACAAAGGGAAATTAAATGGAAACCATAATCGGAACAAGACACATTCTCTAATCATGATTTCATCTCAACAACTAAAGTTCACACCTGAAAAAGAATGACAAATGGGTCAGAGAAGAAGGAGAGACGAGGAATACCATAAAGGAAGAGAGAGAAGAATTAAAAAAGGATCATACCACATCATATCCCCCCACCTTAGGTCACGAATTCTTTAAGTAACACATTCCTCTTGTGCATTCTCTTGCTTTTCCACGTGCCTTTGCTATCTGAATCACCTTCGACATGTCCTCCCTCATTAACAGCATTTTCCGCATGATGCTCACTTGTTATAATACCCTTCCCTTTAAAATCAACCTTGTCCTCAAGGTTGAATTGAGGATAAAAATATTTCATCATTTGATAATCTTCCCAAGTAGCTTCCTCGATTGTAATAGACTCCCATTGCACCAAAACTTGGGGCACTTTCACAGAGTTTTGGATGATAATTCTGGAATCGAGTATCTGAATTGGTTGAAAGGTTGGTCCCATTTCTGCAATAGTAAGAGGCAAAGGCAAGTATTGTTGATGCTTGTCACCATAAAACTTCTTAAGTAGGGATATGTGAAAAATTGGATGAATTTTGACGTCTGCTGGTAACTTAAGTTTGTATGCTACACTTCCGATCTTCTGTATTACTTCAAATGGCCTAAAAAATCTCATTCCCAATTTTTGATTCTTTCTCAATGCTACTGAATGTTTCCTGTAAGGTTGCAGTTTGACTAAGACCAAGTCACCAACCATAAACTACATATCCTTTCTTTTCTTGTCTGCATGCATCTTCATGTAGTTCTGTGCCTTGAGTAAGCTTTGCTTCAGCTAGTACAGAGCTTGATCTCTAGCAATTAAGGTCTCTTGCACTGAAATGAGGTCCTTAGCATCCTGTTCATAGTGGATAATTGAGGGTGGTTCTCTTCCAAATACTGCCTTGAAAGGGGACATACCAATGCTATGATGAAAAGCAGTATTATACCAAAATTGTGCCCATGATAACATAGGGTACCAAGCTTTAGGATTGTCGAACACAACGCATCTCAAATATATTTCCAAGATCTTGTTAAGTACTTCCGTTTGTCCATTCGACTGAAGGTGATAGGAAGAGCTCATGGCCAAGGATGTCCCTTGAGCCTTAAACAACTGCTGCAAAAAAACACCCATAAAAACTATGTCTCTATCTGAAACAATGGTTTTAGGAAAACCATGTATCTTCACTACATTAGTAATGAATGCTTCAGCTACCGTCTTTCCTGAAAACTTAGCTTTGAGAGCTATGAAATATCCAAATTTGGACAACCTGTCAACGACCACCATGATAATAGAGTACCCATGTGAATTAGGCAATTTAGTAATAAAATCCATATTGATGTCGTTCCAAATCTACTGAGGAATAGGTAGTGGCTGTAATAATCCTGCGAGAAGAGCGTGATCCACCTTTGCTTATTGACATATAGCACAACTCTTGATAAAACTTATGATATCTTGTTGCATCTTTGGCCAAAAGAATTGCTGAGAAATTCTTGCCACAGTTCGAGTTACATCAGCATGTCCTCCTATTTTGGTTGAATGAAATTCATGCATAATTTTCTTCATAAGCTCCCCATTATTAGGTATCATGAGTCTGCCTTTCCAGAACACCAAACCATCCTTAACAGTGTAATTGTCATTAGGTTGTAATCCTTGCACACATTGAGTTCGAATAGAAGATAACCATCCATCATTTTCAATCCTCTGCTCTACTCCCTTAAGTCACACATTAACAGGTTCAGACCAGGCCATAAAGAAACTTTGAGAGAGAGCATCAACAATAATATTTTCCTTTCCTGGCTTGTATTGAATAATAAAGTCATATCCCAAAGACTTAGACAATCATTGTTATTGTTCAGGTGTTTGTAAGTTCTGATCCAACAACTCCTTCAGACTTTTTTGATCAGTTTTGATAATGAATTTGTGCCCCAACAAGTAATGCCTAAATTTGGCCATGGCTTCAGTGATGGCATAAAATTCTCTTATGTATGCTGACTGCTTTTGCATTTTAGGGGATAATTTCTTTGAAAAATAAGTCACAGGGTGCTGATTTTGACTTAATACTGCTCCAATACCAGATCCTGATCCATCAATCTCTAGGATAAAGATTTCTTGAAAGTTAGGAATAGCTAAAACTGGTGTTGTAGTCATAGCTTCTTTCAATAGCTGAAATGCTTTGGTAATTTCTACACTCCAAGTAAATGCATCCTTTTTTAGCATATTCGTGAGTGGTGCAACAATGGATGCATAATTCTTCACAAATCTTCTATAATATCCGGTTAAGCCTA